TCTCGCACACTTAGGGACGGGACCTCGGCACTCTAGATATCAGGGTTCAGCCTCGAAAAGATTTTAAATTAATTAAGGGTGACATTAAAAAAAAGACCAGACAACTTGCAGACTCTGCTGAATGTCATTTCTTGTTTGGTAGCAATCAATCCCCCGACAGAGCCTGGACTCCTGCCGTCAGAGCAGAGGAGAACGAGCACAGAGTTTGAGCACTATCCAGAAAAAAAGGGTGCCAAGAACACCAGTGACTAGGTCTCAGCCTCTGCTGCCTTGAGCACCACCCCAATAAACCACATACAGGGGGATCTTCCTGTCTCCCGGCCAGCAGCCATCCTGGAGTCCCCCGCCGTCAACGACTAGTGATGACCCAAAAGTATCAGCGAGTGATTAAAGAGAAATTCAGGGCTGCCACATCCTTCCTCCCCATCATCTCACCAAGGTTAATCTGCCACCACCGTAAACTGCAGAGCCAGTTCAACCCACTGAGATGTAAAACATCCAAATACACCCCAGGGTGCTCTCTGGATCTTCCATACAGGATGGGGGGGTGGGGTGGATCTTTGTAGATTTGAATAGAAAGAATCAGGGGGTTCTATTATTGCTCTATACAAGTTTCAGAGTAGCAGCCGTGTTAGTCTGTATCCGCAAAAAGAACAGGAGTACTTGTGGCACCTTAGAGACTAACAAATTTATTAGAGCATAAGCTTTCGTGGGCTACAACCCACTTCTTCGGATGCATATGCAAGTACTCCTGTTCTTTTTGCTCTATACAAGCAACTCTTCAATTGTTATTCACAGACCACATCGATCCATGGAGCAATTGTTGATGGTCCCTGGGAAGCTGGCTGGTAACATGGTCCTGGCTCCTTGGCCCTCGCTGCTTCTACAGCTGTCCAAGCTTTTCACTGCAATTAAAAGGCCTGTGAAAGCAACTGAAAACACGGAAGAGCCAGCCCAGCTGCCCCCAGCATGGGCTTCTGTTGCAGATTAAAGGAGAAGAAATGAAGAGCAAAAAGGATGTTTTCACCCCAAAAAGGACAAAACACTCAGCGCTTTAAAGTCAGCACAAGACACAATTGCGTTCCCGATATGACCTTCCCCTATAAGCAATTGATCTAGGTGACAAAGGGCTGTTATGTGAGAGGTGTGGTGAGCTCTCTTAAGATGTGGTCTTTGCTATGGTGAACGCCCTGCTCTGTGCTGAGCCCGGGACTCGGAGACCCCGTGCTCCCGGGGTGGGGAGTAGTCTGATTTAGACGTAAGACAGACATCAAAATGATGTGGTCTTAGCTAGGCCACGCCATAAGAGTAGCAACATTAACCTTGGCATCCCAGCCAAATCGGCCTCCTTAAATTCCCCCTGGCTACAGGATTCTCCTTCATTTCCTGTTCTAGTTTAAAGAGGACTGTAACTACCCAAGTTAGAATTTGGCCAGGGTGCTTCGGGCTTGTCTACATGGCAAGCCAGGCGTGTGAATCTACAGCGCACCAGCTTGCTGTGCAGTAATGTCCTGTGTGGACACTGCTCCAGTGTGGGGAAAGTCCCGGAGCGTGGCTTGGCGTACTACGACTTGAAAGCGCAGCAGATGGCTGCATTTCTGAGGGAGTGAAGAGATTCCTATGTAGTTTGCAAAGCAACCTGGGACCTTAGAATGACTGATTTCCACTAACACAGTACCTGTCTTACTATGAAATAAGTACATAATGAACTAACCCAGCACTGACTGTATCTGCTCTCTGCCCTGGTATGCTGCATGGTTCGTGGCCTCACCCAAACCTACCAGCATCCAACAGAAGTCACTGTCTTGAACCGACAGCTGCAACGTTCAGGGATCCCAATGCACTGATATTTACAAACAACAAGAAACCAGCTCTTCTGGGAGGGGTGTGCTGGGCAGGACAGCAAGGGTTAGTGCCCGCTGGGCCAGATTTTCAGAGCTCAGCCCCCAACCTGCACCCAATGCACTGAGCTCCTCTGAAGAATCTGGCCCCAATGGTTCACCGCTAGAAAGCTCAAGATCAGATCCTGGAGGTGGCTAGGAGCAGAACTTTGATCGTCTCATCCTAGACTCCTATTATCCACATCCCAAAACTACTGCATAATCCAGCCCAACTAGCCCATGGCAAGAGTTGTCTATGTCTAGATCAACAGGGGGTGCTACAGGTCAGGACTGAGGTGCACTGGCAATGCATAATGGGATCTGCACAGCACTTGCCTACACAAATTACTTGACTTGGGGCACAGCTTGCAGGCTGCATTTTCATCAGCACCAGATTCTCTTCGGGTCTTTTTGAAGACATCAATAAATAAATACAATGAGATGCAAGGACAATCAAACCCAGAGATGTAACTCAGTGAATAACCAAGGGATGGACTGTGATTTCAAAAGGAGACTGGTTTGGAAAGAAAAGATTATTGAGAACTGGCAGCATTTATAATGAAAGGCTCTGTACTCTTGAGTCTTGATGCCCACAAACAACCTCCCTGCATGATTTTTGTTGTTGTGAGAGCCCCGTCTTCCCCTATATCTTATCTAAAAAACATGCAAAACCTCTTGCAAACAATACAGCAGCCTAGAAGTTGCAGAGGAAGATGTACCAGTTCCATCACATTAAGATGTGACTTTATAAACATGCATGCTAGCTCATTCTAACAGGTTTGCCTACAGACTCCGCGCTGGTCATTGTACCGTCTATTTGGATTCTGCACCCAAACATTAACGAACTACTGCAAACTCCTGAATGTTTGCTCACATACATACAGCTGTACCAGAGAGTCACTGCTTGTTTTCTGAATGCCAGTCCTAGCATGCTGCTAGGGAGAATCCATCAGGTCTTTTTGACAGGGAGAAAGTTATCCTTCAATATTAACTGTGCTCCTCTCAGGCTCGTCATACACAGAATAGAAGTACTGATACTAGTGAGAGCAACATCTGGAGTGTATACTAACTCCGTGCTGCAATCATTTTAATTGTTGAGGGTCTTGGGGGGAGTGGGGGATGGGGAGGACGGTGGCAGAGGAATCCTGCCTAGACTACATGTCACTCAATGTCATCATCCCTCCAGATCCCCTCCCCCTTGCACGTTCCTCTATTTATGGTAAACTACTGGCCCTGGTTGGAATAATGACCTCGTTTCCAGCTTTGTTTCAAGCACTACATTTCAGACTCGCCTCTGGTGCCAGTGGAGCTCTCGCTCCTGGAAATGACAGGGTTGGAGCTCGGGCTGGCCAGAAAACAATAATTATGTTTTGCAAAAAATGTTGAGGTTTCAGCATTTGTTTTCCTTCTTCATTGGAACAAAAACAGGCCATGTCAGAGCAGGGAGCTGAAGCTGTATTTCTTCCCTTCCCCACACTCAGTATAAATAATGAAATATTCATTGAGCCAGAGAGACAGACTCTAGCCCAATGGTCAGGACACTCAGCTCGGCTGTAGGAGACTCAGGATCAAGTCCCTGCTCTGAACTGGGCAAACTCAGCTCAGGAGAGTGTCATAATGGCTGGACTCCTGGCTATTCTGGGGTGCGGGTCCGTCTATCTGTCTGTCCGAAACGCCATCCTGGACCTGAGAAAGCTTTGTCAAAACCCAGACGCTTCCGGGGAAAAGTTTTCGTTTTGACTAATTGGGCTTTTCTGGCTGATGAGCTCTAGGAGGCACTGATCTTGCTACTTCCTCTAGTGGATGGATTCAGTCATTTTTGCTCTCAGTACCATCTCTTTTAAAAGGATACACGCTCCCCTTGAGGGAATCATAGAGCCAGTGTAAAGGGGACCTCCTGGCTCCTGAGTTCACACACACCCCCAGAAATGCTGCAGAGCCCTGCTGCTACTGCCACTCAAGCTGCAGTGACACTGTTGGCAAGATGCAGTCAGTGGGAGAACTGCTGTACTCTGCACTTCTGAGGGCAGCCAGTGCCTTTTCCAGCCTGAGAACTGACACCCAAGACAAGGCCAGTGCAGCCGCTGTCACTGGAAATAGGTTGGTTATGATCCAGTGATGGTAAATTCAGTAAAAAAAAGGCAACAAATTAAGGGCTTGGAGTGGGGACATTTAAATGTCAATGGCTCGGATTTCGGGGGAGGGGGGCAGGAGAGGAGAGCGCCCTTGACTCCAGGCCTCCTCCCATGACCCTACATGAGCCTTTATCACACCAGGACCCACCCCTAGGGCAGTGCTGGCAGAGTGGTGCCCTGGGCTGGCAACCCCCCCCCCCCCTTGCCAGCGAAGAAGCACAGGACTGCCTGGGGGCAGGGCACATTGCCCATGGCACCACACCCGCCAAACCCTCCCGCCTCTTGGTGATTTTACAGCCAGCAGCCCAAGCGGAGGAAAGGTGCTCAGTACCGATGGCCAAGGGAGGGACAGAGCCACATCAGCCAGCTTCCCGGGGCAGATGGGTGGCCTTGCAGGTGGGACTTGGGGGAGATGGTTCTACTCCTGACTGCCACTGACCCACAGCGTGACCTGAGACAAGTCACTTCATTGCCCCATGACTCAGTTTCCCCACCTGCACAAGGTGAGCATTGACAGGCTCACCGGATGCTGCGCACAGGGCCCCCTCCAGCCTGGCCCAGGCTCAGAGAAGACGGTGATGGGCGCCAGGCAAGACCCAGGTTCGGTAGGCAGGGAACAGAGCAGCTGCACAGGGCTGCCAGACAAGCCCAACGCCCGCTGTCCCTTGTGCCCACTCAGCTAGCACAAGAGGCGGGGAGGTCCCACTCGCTGCAGCCGCTGCCCGGAGCAGAGGGACGAGGCTGGCGGCAGCTCTCGGCATCCCTCCCGCCGGGCCCCGAGCCCACAGACCCGAGGCGCGGCCGGGGCGGTCGCCGACACCAGCCCGACTCAGGGCACCTTTGGATGCGGCGTTCAGGGCTCCAGCTGGGCGCGGGAGAGGTGCCCAGCCCCAGGGCGGACTGAGGGGAGCTGCACCCGGCGGGCCGGGGGCTCCGGGCCCCTCCCCAGACCCAGGACGCACGAGCCGCTCCGGCGGGGTCTTACCGAAAGTTGGTCCCACCAGAGCCGGCACCAGACACAGGAGGCTCCGCAGCAAGAGCAGCCGCCGCCGCATGGCCCCGTCCTTCCAGGGCCACATCCCGAGGGGCAGGGCGAGCCGAGCCGAGCCGGGAAATCCTCAGCCCCGTTGATCCGGGCGGGGCGCAGACAGCGCCGGGAGCCGGGCGGAAAGAAGGGCGCACAGGAGACCCAGCAGAGGGGCGCGCGTGGGGAGGGGAGGGGGGGACCTGGAGATCGGGGGCTGCTGATCGGTCCCGGGGCTCAGACGGGAGGGGGCAGCGCGCACTGGGGGGGCGGGGGCGGGGGGGGGCAGCCCGCGGGGGGTGGGACTCGGGGGGGCAGCGCGCTGGGGGGAGACTCAGGCGAAGGGGGGGCGGCGCGCACTGGGGGGACCTGGATGCAGGGGTTGCTGCTGGGGCGGGAAGCCGTGCTTGGGGTGGGGGCAGGAGATTAATTCATTCTTCCGCTGCCAGCCCCGTTCCCGCACCAGGATCCGCTGCTCCCGGGGGCTCCCGGCGATAATCCACCGCAGAGGCGCAGCCGCTGCCTCCGGCTCAGCCCGCGCCCGGGCGGCTGCAGCGCCGGGAACTTGCTCCAACTCGGCTGCCCCGGCCCATTGTCAGGCTGAGCCCTCCCCCGCCGCCTTAAAGAGACACCGACCTGCCGGGCAGGAGCGGCGCGCGGGGAGGGGCGGGGGCTCCGCCTGCAGGGCCAGGACTGGGGGGGGGGGGGTCTGTTCTCCTCGCCGCAGGGCCACGCACCAGCCCCGGAGCCTGCCCGAGCCCAAGCTGGGCTGCGGGGTGTGTGTGAACAGCCCCCCACCCCCAACGCGCAGGGGCAAGGCAGGAGCCCCGGGAGCCGGGCAGGGTAGGGGCGGTTCTGCCTCTGGGCCCCTGGGGCCGGGGTATCCCCCACAGCCCGGGGGGGGGCTCTAGGGGCTCGCTTGGAGACCGCGCCTGCTTTGCGCACGAGGCGGGGACGGGGACCCGGGCGGAGCCTCCCGGGCACACGGGCATTTGCATCTCAATGAGCAGCCCCGTTCCCTGTGCACCCACGGGAAGCCCCCTGCCCTGCAGAGCTGCTGCTTCCTCTCTGGGCCAGCCCCATGCCAGGCTCCCCAGCTGATCTCCCCACGTGCGCCTTAGCCGCAGGCGGTGCCTTGGCACCGGGGCTGACAGCAGCTCCGGCCGGGAGGTTCCTGCCCGTGATTAATCCGCTCTGAACCAGCGCGATCACTTTTTAAACGTGGCACCGCAGCTCCTGTGCCCTTTAGCCCTGAGGAGGAGCCGCCCCGCGCTCTGGCCCTGCCAAGTGATGGATTGGCCTTTGATGCACCCTTCTGCAGTGGCAAGGGGGCAGCGATTGATCGCCGAGCAAGGAGACATACTAATGGCAGGTTCTCACAGCGATAAGGAGAACGTTTTCCCGGAGCCTCTCACCCTAAAATGAAGGGCAAGAGTGATGGAGAGGAAGCGAGGAGCTCTTAATGAAGGGAGGCAAAGATGAAATCTGTTGCAATGCTGCCTGGCTCGACTATAGAGATGATGGTGACATTCATCAGCACAGGAGAGCAGACAGTTCATTCATTCCTCGTCTGCTGCCAGCCCTGCCCAAGAGATCCTGCTGCAGCAAACCCGCTGTCTCAGAGGCAGACTAAAAGAGATTGAGATGGAAATGGCCCTTTGTAGTACAACATTCTCCGCAGGTTTTGATCAAATAATTAAATATCCAACAATGGGTGAAACTTGCACTGAATGAATGTTCATCCCTGAGCCAAGAAAGTGCTGAAAAGGCAAACCTGCTAATACATGAACCGGCACCAGCCTGGCGGAGGTATAGGGAGCTGTGACAGCTTTACACACCGGCTTGCTAGCAGCACTTGAAAATAAACTCACATGCCACAGCAGTTGGGTGAGTGAGCTCAGGCCACATCAATGGCCCAAGATCCCCAGTTCTCAGCAGCCCTTGGGAAGCCCCTGGGTGTTTGTGAGGCTCTCAGATACTACGGTCAGAAGCATGTGGAATGCGTACATGGAAGTGAGTGTTACCGTGGGCCCTTTCCCAGCACTATCGAAAGGTCAAGAGACTAGTTTGATGTTCACACAGGCTGTAGGTGAGCTGAATCTGCAGCATGCACACTCCTATTGGAGAGCTGTGACTGCCCAATATGAATGTTACCTTCTATAGCTATGCAGCACCCTAATCCAAAGGTTCCACTTCTCCACTGCATCCAAGTGAGTCAGTCAGGGCTCCCTGCCCACCCTTGGAAAAAGCTAGGGCTGTGCAGGGTCAGCACTGGTGTAAACTCCTTTCTGTGAGTCAAGGTGGCTTTAGCAGAGCCCAGAATCCAGCCCGTGATGTAAGGTGCTCCTGCACGTGGGGACTGCCGTCTTGGGTATTGAACAAGGCAGCAGTTAGCGCTTGTTTCCCAAACCACCCTTCTCCATGTGCTCGGGATTCTTGTTCCTCATTTTTTCCTATTCTCTCTCCATCCTCACTGGTGTGCACTACTCCCAGGTTAGCATCATCTGCAAGATTAATTCATGTGCCTCTTACTGATGACTAAGGAAAGCATTAAGCCAGAGCCAGAGCTGCTGTGACCCTGAGGCACCTCTCCTCTGTATGGGAACTCCTGACTCCGTACACTGCTTTTGTTTGGGGTCTTTCGGGCAGTTTTCATTGTACATGGCTGTGCTCATGCCCAAGCCCTCCTCGGGGCTTTGGTGAATTCACAGACCAGCGCTGTCCGAGTGGCACTGCACAAACATGGAAGAAAATACGTTCCCACTCCAACGAGCTCCCAGGCTGAACCAGTCACAGGAAGTGGCATTCAGACACATACAGTGACACGCAGGCCGAGGCGCATTGGTTTCCTACCTGTCCTGATTTTTTTCTTCTTAGTGAGATTTTTTTAATTCCCCCCAATTTTCCCTCCTGAAACCCAACATCCATGTACAGCGGCATTCTGTGAAATAATTCCTTACTGCATCAAGCACCAGTATCAGTGAGTGAGCGGTGGGAACAGTCTTCTGTCCTCTCCCCTTCTCACTGTGAGGAGGAAAGGGCAAGGTGGCTTCCTCCTCTTTCTGGGTCAGAACGCTGCCTCCACGGATCCCAAGAACCTCTTGATTGTGCATGTCAGACTGTATTGGTTGTTAGCGCAGCTAGTCCCCCAGGAGAACGCGAGTCCTGTGGTTCTCTTACTCTGTCAGACCTGGTGCAGATGCTGTCTGTAATTCCTCCTTGGTGCTGAAGCCCTTGTATCATTATCAAAAGCATTTCATTACCATCTGCTTTGGAAGGAAAGTCTCACTCCTCTGCCTCTGTTTCCATGCTCCTGCTCTTCCCCGCCCCCCCAGGTTTCATGCCCATAGTGAGTGTTGTCTTTTAGATCCACTTCTAGCTCTTGTTTGCTTCCCACACTCCTGTCATTTGTGTACATGCTCCTAAATCCACTGACACGCCTGTTCTTATTATTTATTGAACTTGTTGCAGAGTGATGTCATCTTGAGTCTCATCTGGTACGTTGGTATGTTTGGTATGCTGGATTATCTGATCTAAACATGATCTTTAATGCCTCTTTCCTGTCTGGTTTACAGCTCGCCCAAGCTCTGAACGTAACCCTTCTGCATAAACAGTGACTGTCCACTCCGAACAGCGGACATACATCACTCCGTGAATCCAGAGTGTCCACATCTCTGCACCATCACTGCAGCCACCAATTGTTCTCCAGTATCAGCCGTCCTTTGGCACTTGCCACTCCTGTCTTTACTTCCCCTGCAGCTATTATTGGTTGTACTAAAACTTCCTTCATTGGGGGCGGGGAATGAGTTGTTTCCACATGATCTATAATAAGCATGAATTTCCCACTATCCTCCAGGATATGCTTCATCCTCATCCTCCTCCTATTTCCTGCCTGGTTCTCCGTGATGGAGCCACCGATCAGAATTGTTGGCTGTTTCTTCCTGGGGAATTAATAAATTCCCTTGGGACTTTCTCAGCCTGATCCCTGCTCATCTTGTCAAGGGAGGGGCCCAACAGCGGGCATCTAGGCTCCACACACATTTCACTTTGGTTTTTCCAGCTCCTCTTGGTGTTCCTCAATGCCACAGTTCTCCATCCTTCCTCCTTGTGCACACCTAACCCAGCTGAGATCCTACCTGCTAAGCACCTCCATGCTTCCCATAGTCTGCCTCTATTGGTATCGTTCACCCGGCATTCCCTGTGCCAATGGGGCAGCTGCATCTCTGGGGGCTTTCCCTCTGCGGAGGGCAGGGAATGCTTGGACTGCTGTCTTCCCAGAGGCCTCTACCCGGGGAGGGCAGATTTGACTCATGGCCTGGGAGGCACCAATGGGCCCCACCAAACAACTGGCAGTGCCACTGTATCCTCTTCCAACAGACCTGCTGCTGCCAGAGGTCCTATGCCTGGGTTCCACCGCCCGAAGCCAGTCAAAAGCAGCAGTGACTCGAGTTAGATCACTACAAGCAGGTCTGTAAAACCATGAACTTCCCCAGTCAGACACACACAGACCCAAATCTCCACTTTGCCAGGGGAGAGCAAGTCCTACCAGGCGTGTTCAGAGAGTCTCAGATTAGCCAGAAGGGACCACTGTGACCATCTAATCTGCCCTCCTGTAGGACACAGGCCAGAGACCGGCCCTGACTTAATTCCTGTTTGACCTAGAGCATAGGTTAATGCTAAGGCCAGTCAGTCAGGCTACGAGTGACTTTACTTGGCATTGTCATGTGCTGCAACATTGTTCGCTTGTGTCCCAGTGGCACTCAGAATGGTAAGGAATTCTTACAGAGGCTTCAAAAATATCCATTTAAAGATGACTCCCAGTCTAACCCTTTGGCCCAGATGCCGGCCTGATCAGCACAGGCAAGGGCTGCTTGTCTAATGCCAGTAGGAAATAACTTCTGGAAAATATGTTTTAATCCCTAACCAACCTCTCCATGTACCTGGCCCTCCCCAGGGGAGAGACCCCGGAGCTGGGGCTGTTCCATCTCTAGTTCTGATCAGCCTGCATCACAAGTGCTGCTTCCTCTGCTC